GCAGGGTTTGGTTCTGCGCAGAGCCTCAGCTCCAACCTGTTATTTAGCAACAGCCCCAGCAAATAGGCACAGCCAGGCAGCTCAGCCCCTCACCTGCTTGCGTGCTCCAGGCAAGGCAGGGATATCTGGGCTGGAGTGGGGCCCAGAAGGCAGGCAGGCGCTGTGCTGGGCACAGCCTGCAGCCAGCCCTGGGAGCTGCCCTGCAGCTGTGAGGGAAAAACAAGGAGCAAGACCTACACCAGGCCTGCCCAGAGACTGCACAAAGCTGGGCTTTTCTCTCTGAGAAGCCAAAAGAATGCTTCTAGAACCACGTCTATGCTATTACATTTAAAATGCAGTGCCGGAGCTCGCCCTCTGGCACGGGGGTCAGCCCATATCTGTATTGCAGAGCTCAACACATCCCCACAACATGGCGGCCATAGGCAGATGACTCCTGCAGCCACATGCTGTCCCACATCAGCACAGGGCGTGCAGGGCCTGAGGAGCATCTGGCTGTGGGTGGTGTTTAGAGCAGCTCTTGTCGGTGCTGACTTTTATTCAGCATCTTTTGTTCAGCACCTTTTTTTCAAGGTGAGGCCCACGCAATGTAGGCTGCAGCCACACGTGGGCCCATGGCACAGAGCAGCACTGGGTGCCTCCCAGGGCTGCATGCACTGCCTGGTGCTCAGAAGCACTACGGATATTTGCCTCCCCACACAGCACGCACAGTTGCAGGAGGAGTTTTCCCTCTTTCTCCCCATGTCACACAGACAGCTGGCTCCCAGTAGTGCTGTGTTTCCATGCCAAAGCAGTGGGGAGGATTTCAGATCTGGCGCAGCAAAATGCTCAGCAAGCTGGCATGCACCAGCCACTTGTCATTGCTTGTGTGCATGCTTCCTGCCTGATGCCCTCGCTCTTCTATGGCTTTACTACTTCACAGCAAATATTACAAACTGCAAGTAATCCTTCACTAAGTAGCAAACATTAACTGGCTGCAGGAGATGCCACCTGAAGCTGCTGTCTTCCCTGGACACTCCCACACAGACAGGGTCTTGCACCCTTGGGATGGCTGCAGTGACTGTGGCTGATGAGATCTGAGCAGCAGCACTGACCTTGGGTCTATGGGATGTTTTATGGAGTGCTGTAAGATTCTACACCATGAAACAGCACTGTGCAGCTGCATTTAGGCAACTGAATCCCACTCATTTTAGTGGCATCCCATTCAGAAAGTCCCTGCAACTGCATGGGAGCAGGAGTGCAGTCAAGGAATCATCACAGATTCTTCTTCTCTGGAGGCATGTTTGCAGGTACTGCCTGAGGCACGGGGCTGTACCTCCTACTGTCCCCTGCACTCAGCCCTTCCCAGGGGGTCCCTCCTTCAGCAGAGCTGCAGTTCAGTCAGGGTGCCCACCTCGACCACCCCCCAGACTCTGGAAGGGGGAAATAGAACTTTTGTTGCACTAAAAAATAGTAGTTAAAGGGAGAATTTCTCATTTCAGGTATTTTGCTTCAGCTGGGAGAAGACAGAATGGCAGAGAATGTGTTTTTGTATCCAGAGAGAGAGTTTAGATGAAAGTCTGGTGATGTTTCTGCAGAAAGGTCCCAAGGATTAATGGCAGTCAGCCACTGCTGCCATGTATTGTGCCCAATGCACTTTGGGTGCCCCAGGAAATGAATCTACATCAGCACCAAGCAGTCCTCACTGGGGTGAGAGGACCAAGATACAGTGACTTGTGGCCCCCATTGTTGGCTCTCCTCCCCCTAGTAAATCTGCATTCCTGCCACTTCTTATGGAAGGCTGTTACCAAGCTTTATCTCCTGGGAATTTGTCTACTTGTTTCACCACAATATTGTCATCTTTTGACACAAAATTGAAGATATGTTTTTCCATTTAGTCCTGTTCTGAAAAGAAAACAATACAAAAGAAAACAATCCTTTCCTGTTTGACTGACTGGGAGTGGTGCAGAGAGTGTCAGGACCATAGGACAGTAATGGTGGGAAGGGCCCTCAGTAGGGTCTCCAGCCCCGTGACCAGACCCGGCTTTGAAGGCTTTCTCCACACCATTCTTTCAAACCCCCAAAGGACCCTGCCCAGGCTCTATGAACAATTTGTTCTCATTTCAGGAGCACTGAGGCATTCCCCCAAGGTTACGTGCAGCCAGTATCACCTGTAATGTCAGTGCACAGGGGTGAACAGCTGCAGAAACCATAGTTTTATGTTGAAGGTCAAATGGAAAATACTTCATTGGTTAAAATTATTCCCTGGCTCATCATCATTCCTTCCATGTTATGAAATTGATTGGAAACAGAACTGAGAGGAGAAAGCAAGCTGGATACTTCAGTATTAGAGGATTCCCAGGTGTACCTGCTGGACACAATTCCATGCACTCCAGGCAGTCAGTGTGACTTTTCTCACCTCTTCATCACTCTGCCACAAGAAACGATTACTTACTACATCTAATTACTTCTTCACATTAATGAAAAGAAAGCACCATCCAGCTCTGCCTCCCAAAGCAGTTCACAAGCTTGCTCCGTGACCTTGTGTACTCCTCCACCTGCCTTCATTTGTCAAACTTAAACCAGGAACAATTTACCCAGGCCCCAAGGCTACTATAAGATCTCATTATTGCAAAGAGCTCCTCTAGCCCATGCCCATGTACAACACAGTATTATGTATTATTAACAGGATGCGGCCAAAGGAAGAGAGAAACAGAGGAAGCAATTTTTCAAATGTTTTCTTTCCCCTCTTCTTCCCCTCTCAGAACAATGCAGAGCTACAGCAGGCTTCCAAAGTTCTGAACTGGATTCATTCAGCAACACTGACACACTGACAGTTCTCAATCTACATGCATGACAGCTCTTCTAATTGGAAAGATTACAAAAGTCTACTGCTCAACTGAGTTTCTCAGCAACTGTTAAGAATAAAATTAAGGGGAAAGAAAAACTGCAGAGTATCAGAAGACATCTACAGTGGGAATAGGAGCTGTGGGATAGGTAGCACTTCTGTCCCCATTTAATTTGGCCATATCAAAACTAAGGCAGCAGGGTCACATCCTCAGCACAGAATGTGCAGACACAACAGCCACAGAAACAAAATACTGCCTGTGCCATTCTGAAGCAGGTGCAAGAAGAGCAGGTCTGCTAGAGAGGACAACAAATAACATCTGACCGGTGAAAAGAGTTAAGAAAAGCACTTCTCAAACCTCAGTGCTAAGGGATGCCTGTGCTTTTCCGATGGGTAACTGCTGCTGCTCTTCTACTGCAGGCAAAACCTAGGGGCTGTGCAAGACTTCAAGAAACAGCAGCTCCCTACTCTCCCCAGCTCATCTTCTAGGGCCAGTCTGCCAGAATCTGCACACAAAAGCAAACTGCTTGTGCTTGAGGAGTTCTAGTTCCACCTTCCTATGAAGCAAAGCTGAGGGAGCTTGGCTTGTTCAGCCTGGAGAAGAGAAAGCTTTAGAGAGACCTCATTGCAGCCTTCCAGTACTTGAGGGGAGCTGATAAAAAGGAGGGAGACTGATTTTTTACATGGTTTGATAGTGACTGGGCAAGGGGGAATGATTTTACTCTTAAAAGAGGAGAAATGTAAATCCTCAGAGGGCGGTGAGGCACTGGCAGAGGTTGTCCAGCTGTTCTGCAATCCTATGATTCTACAACTCTATGATTCTATGACAGTAACAAATGGTGGGAGCCTGGGTATCATCAGTGGACCAGGGAAGCTCCTGTCAGTCTGCTGAGAACAGCAGCTCCCTATTCACAGTGGATCCTCACGCCTGGACTGAAACTCAGCACCCCAAAGGGGCTGGCTTTGGCCAAATAAGTGGCCACACCTAAACTGAAGGGCTCTTCTAATACAAAGAGAATTCTGAGTTTTGCTGCTCCCCTTGCCTCTCTTATTTAAATATATACTTACGTTTCTTGTGACCGTCACTGAAAAACAAACCAATCTAGCTGGTTATGGATATAGTAAGGAAAATGGCAATTGTCACTTCTGCAAAATATGAAGTGAGTCCTACCCACATAAAGTCTGCACAGTTCAGGCCTTACGTCTTTCCCAAGCTATAGTAGTTGGCAGTGAGAATACAAGAACTACTTCAAAGCATTGCACCTTCCACCTACCAAACTTTTTATGTCAGATCTCATACGAGATAAATTAACTACATAATGTTAATTCCTGAAGTGAGGCATGATACAAGGCTCTTTGTATCTGAAAGCTGAAGGCCGTTGCTAGAAGCACTGTAAGTAATCACAGAATCATAAGACAACCTGGAAGGGACCCACAAGGATCATCGAATCCATCTCCTGGGTCCACACAGGAATATCCAAAAACTAAACGATGGAGAAAATACACATTTTCTCCAAACAGAGGCAAACACCTGAACACATCTGAAAAAAGGTTATGGCAGTTGAAATGAAATTTCATACTTGTTCACATTCATTCTCAGGTGAATTTACGAAGCACTAGAAGTCTTTGCTCTAAGATTTTGTTGGAAGTTGATGCAGTTTCACAGACATGGGGGAAAGAGCTGTTAGTTGCAGACTCGAATACAATACTTTACTGTGTTGTAAGTAGTCACACTGCAGGTATTTGCATCCAGCATTTGGTATTCCAGTCTAGTTTTCCATTTTCTAAAAGGCAAGTCTCCAGACTTGGATCTTCTATTGGGGAGAAAAAAAAAAAAAAAATCAACAAGCTTGCCTTGGCCTTTCACTCACAGGCAAACTGAAGTTCTGCACCCGCGGCCAAAGGAGCAATTCTTTACCCTACAGCCCAGATTCCACTGAAATGAAGAGATGAGGGCTCTGCTGAAGCTGCAGGAACCCATTCCAAAGGGACGTCTGCACAAGACCCAGAGCATGCAGCATTAGAGGTGGAAACCTGACAAGTAAAGAGACTCCACAGGCTTCAAAGGCAAGGAGTGGATCCCACAGCTTCAGCTGCTGTAGGACTTGCTTCCTACTTGCTTTCACTGAGAAGGGCACTCGTCTTGGAGAATATGTACACATACCACTACTTCGGCTGTTTTTTCCAGTATTTTATTTCTGACAGGCATTTACAACGTTCCATTCATAGAACTAAAAACATAAAAATAGACCTTCTTTCAGCTTATAAAAGAAATATATAAGAACCTTTGACATAGACATGTCATGACATTATGTACAAGAACAACGGTACCTTCCCAGTACCAGCCTTCCAGTATTCCAGAACTGACTGTATTCCACTGGGTACAACACAGGACAGCTAAAACCTCTGCTTTTCTAGTATGCTGGGACACAACTGATGGGTAGATGATATAAAACAATGATGTGATCATACAAAGGGTATAGAAACCTTTCTAAAGCTTTTACGAAAAGAAATGAGAGGATAGCAAAAGGTTAAGAGAGAAAGCTTTCATAAGAACAAGTATAGTGCACCAGAAACCAGAAAAGGGTAGAGGAGAGGGGGATATGCTAAGTGGGACACAAAGACAGTGATGAATTTTGGGGGGAATAATTTTCGTTATGTTTTAAAATATAGTCAGAGTGGATTTTATAAAATATAATCCTAAAGTTATTATAAAATTTCAGGTTTTCAAAGTACCTACTGATGTGTCAAACACCAATAGATACCAAAAAAAAGAAAACTTCATATAATCTTCCTTTTTTTTTTTTTTTTCCTCATAGGTGAAACTGAAATGGGAAAAGCTATATAAATTCTTAAAAAAAAAAAAAAGTGCTTTTTGTGTTTTGCATTTGGAAGTCTACTTAAAAACCATTTTAGTCACATTTTACCCTGTTTCAGATGCTTAAATAAAAGATTTAAAATGTTGAAGAGGTTTAGAACTTGCTCGTATTCTATTGCGGTGGAAAAGCTTTCATAAAGGAATTAAAATACACTAGTTTCACCCACAGTAGGAGAATGGATGAGGTCAGTTTATTTGGCCATGGATTCCCTGTCCCCTAAGCCCAAACTGTGTCAGAGAAAGCAGACCAAATGAATCCACAATGCTGCTGCCCCAGTGGCAGCAAGGTTGCACCACGGATCAGTCTGCTCCACTATAATTCAGTAATGTCATTTTATTCTTTTTATTATCTAACTAAACTCCAGCTTCAAACATATACAATAATCCTTTTCTTGAAGAAAGTTATATCTAAATAAGAGTTTCCAGTTCATATTTTAATATAAAACCCACCATTCCTAACCCTCTGCAAAAAGCTAGCCTTGTATCCTAGACATGGAGCTAAGCTAACACTGTAAAATTCTTATCCCTTTGTGCCCCTGCATCTCAGGTAAAATACAAAAAAATATTTCTTCAAGTGTTAAATTTGGATCTCTTAAGAGAGTTTGGCATCTTTACAACATTATGCAAAACTAGAGCTTCCAACATTGACATTAAATTAGACCAGCCACAGACCAAGAGGACTTAACACAACATAAATCCCAAACCTTTCCTCACACATTCCTAAAATACATGTATATTCTTTTACATTTAAAGAGGGAAAAGTAATAAGAATACTGCAACTGTACATGTTAAAAAGGCAGTTTCCTCATTCAGGAGATGAACCTACGGTTGACATTTTACGGCTATAAAACCCTTTGTTCGTTGTGCTATTGTATAAGCTAGTTTGCTGTACGTAGGTTAAGACATCCAGAGTAATTTGTTTTCCAGTGATTATATTTTCCCCATACTTAATTTCAGCCCCTGATTATGTTAGAATAAATAAAATAGTGTGAAAGCCCTTGGTAACGTAAGACAGGACCTTAAGGTTATTCCGTTCCAAGTTTTGAGCGTTTTACAGTTGCCTAAAGTGTGGCCGCATGGCTTCAGACCAATTCAGCTGCCATAATGGTGTGTGCAAGTGTGCAATCTATGGGGACTGGTTCTCGGCGGTGCGCCGAGAGCGGGAGGGAGAGCGGGCAGGATGGGGAGACCTACGCATCTGGGCAGGGAAGGGGACCGGTTTAGAGCTCCGTGTTCAGTTTCCTGCTCGGGACAAAGTCTTCGCGCCTGACCCAGATGACCTCCTCGCCGTGGCCCTCCACGTCACCGTTGATGCCGGTCAAGGCCGCCTGCTTCTTCAGCTGGGTCATCCTGGAGGCGTGCGTGTCCATGGCCGGGCGCGAGCGGTCTCCACGGCACGTGATGGAGGCTGCCTGCAGCCGCTCCCGAAGGTCTCGGTCGGCCACGGCACCCCTCATGGCCTCACAGTACTCATCGTCATCGCTGAGGATGTCCGTTTCCTTGATGTCCTCCTGCTCCTCATACTGAGCAAGGTCAAACTGTTCCTCTACCCAGCGGTCAGTGTCCCCACCGTGCGTGGGCTGCTGGGGCTCTTTTTCGGGGCTGCTTGTGAAGACGGCATCTGAGTCAATGGTAAACCTGTTTCGGGCCAGCCGCCGCCTCCTCCTCCCAAGAGACTTGCTTGGGGCTGACACTGTGCACACACAAAGATAAAACCCCAGAGGCTTTTTACACACGGTACAATTCTCTCTAGAAAGTTAAGTCTTCCAAGGGCCCTTTATTTAACACCTCTAGGCACAAACCAGGCAGACTCCCAAGAATGACCTAGTCATTCCACATCCTCCCTGTGGGCTTCACTCAGCTCCTCGGCACAAGTCTCTCTCCAGCTGAAAAAAGGGTTTCTGCTACTCAGATCCATGGCTGGGATAATGGCCCACAATTACTGTTCCTCCTAAGTGGTAGGCAGCCAGCCAGCACAAAGTGCATCTGTTCAGCTCAGCTTCTTGCAAGAAGCACCCTGCCATCAGTACACAGCAAAACCCAGCTAGCCTTACACCTCAGTACGAGAAATTGCTTTGTCTCGGGTTAGAGCAACATTACAGGTTTCCAAACAGCTACCTCAGTACTGAAGGTGCTGGAATTGTTGCTTTACTTATGGCGTGTTTTCTATCCAAGCTGTGCTAGCCTTTTCTCCACTTTCTCCCTGCTAGGGAAGGGGGGAGAAAAAACAAAACAAAAACAACCTTTTCCGAAGTTCCTGACTCAGTATCAGCTGGTCTACTAGCTTTTGCAAAAGGCCCAATTAGCAAATTCACATCTTCTGTGTTGGAACATCATCCTAAGAGTCTTGTGAGACAAAAAAGCAGGGGATGAATCCTGCAGCTGGAGGACCTGCAGTATCCCAGTACTTTACGTGCATACACTCAGTTCCGCTGCAAGCAGGTGAACTGTGAGGTTATAGTTTGTCCTTCTTCACTCAACAGCACCTTAGCACTTGCAGAACATATTCATTAAACTCTAGCAGCCTGGGGAGCATGGGCTACATTTTAATATCCCTGAGCCTCAGAACATGCACAAAGGATAACAGCTGAGCTGTTGCAGATTTTAACTATAATGGAAGATCATCTTCTACTATAGAAAAGATTTTCATCTGAGCAGAATTCATCATGCAAATACACTGACAAGCCAAAATATAAGGTTTGGCATCTACACATCAGCCCCACAGTCTGACTGAAAGAGCACTGTTAAAACCATTGCAATTTGGCCTTCTCTCGAATCTTCTTGCTTATGATTTTAAGCGTCTGCAAAGCAGATGGCTAACATCATTTCAAGTGAGAAGTCATGCTGCTAAAAATGCTATTGGTCTGGCCTGCCCATTACAGAAGAGGAACAGAAAGCCTGATTGTCTACACTGCTGGATCTAATGAGCAGAAAAAAAATAAAAAAATAAAAACAGACCAGAACAAAACACGTAGCGGTGCCGTGTATTTTTCAGTTGGAAGCATGTGTTTCATCCCTCCATCATCTAGTGTTCTGAAAATGAAAACCTGCTTTTCCCTGGGATTTTCTCACTGCTTTTGCCTGAAGTCAACTGAAAAGGAAAATCCATGGTTTAGGACAGACCATTACAATAAGAATATCAAGTGTATGCCTCTCAAAGTGCAAGAAGTAGAAGCACGTGCCTTTAGCCATAAAGCTGAAAAGGCTAAAATGGAGGGCATAACAAGCTGTCTCTTCAAACCACATCCCTCACACAGATCTTTCTTGTGCATTTTACTTTAAAAGTGCTTGGGTTAGTTAAAAAATTCTGTACACGCTTTTGTTTAAAAAAATATGCAGTGGGCTTCTGCTTTCTTCAGTTGAAACCCATTTCCAGATTAAAGTGCACAGCCAATTGGTATCAACAGGACTCCCTTTTCTCCCTTCCATGCCAGGAGGACTGCTCTGAAGCTGAGCCTCGAGTGCAAAGCAAGGTAAATAGAGGCAATTTAAGGCTCCGAAAGAGGTGAAGCATGGAAAAACAGCAGGTTTGGGTTTTTTTTTACATACACAAGAGAGAATGCAAACAGTAATGTGCAAGTATCAGACACCACCACATCCTACAACGGTGCTGGGGTAACTGGGATCTTGAAAGTCTGTAGCCCTACAGTACCTGCCCTGTTCATGGCTGGCCTTGCACCTTTTAGAGCACACAATCTTTTTCCACCAAAAGGAACATATTGCTGGGATGAGGGCAAACTTTCAGTTTTAAGAAGCTGCCTTCTGTGCTTATCCCGCAGAATTGAATGCACTGCTTTCAGAAAGTCCTTCCTGTGTTCTGGTGAACTGAAAAAGAAGAGAGAATACAATAGGCAGAGTTACCTCTTGCAAACTGCCAAAAGCTCACTGTAAATGAGATAATTAACGACCAGTACTGTCATGTAAAACCTCAAACTGACTGACAAGCATTTACTCCCAAGAAGACTCAATTTAAAATAGTATTTCCAAGGCAAAGCCAAATCTATAGTTATTCCAACAGATATCAAAGAAAACAAATACACTGTTTATTAACAAATCATGTTGCCATGCACTCCTTTTCCTCCAAAACCAACCACATACTTTGCTTTGTTTGATAAACATCAAGCTGAGCTGTGGTGACTAATTAAATCTCAATTTTAAGCCTGTAATCAAACACCAAGAGGTCCTGCAGATCTGTACTGCCTAGTAGTGGGACCTGGCTTGATATTGGCTCTGTTGGACCCTGGCAAGTTTGCAAGTTCTCGTTTGAAGTCTAAAACACAGCAGGGCAACAACCACAACAAAGACAGTCAAAATTAATCTAAGGAAAGACTAATGCCCTAAGGACAGTAGTTGGAAGTTGTTGGCATGAAAGGTACCAGCTGAACAAGACACGTTAGCAGCTGCCTGGCATAAAGATCCAGAAGTTTAATTGGATGTAAATTTGTGAAAAGAAAAGTGTAATAAGGACATTCCTATAAAACCATGAGGTTGATCAAATATATGCCTTCATCCTAGGTAGAGTTTCATAAAGGTTCTAACACACTCTCCCTAATTTTCCCTCAGGCAGTTCCCAGACTGCCTCAGATGAATGATATAGGCAAGCTGGGATCCAGGGATGCAGCTGCCATTGGAAGATTTGGAAATACACTTACCTACAGCAAAGGTGAAACGTTCTTTCTGGCCTGCCTTCAGACTCAGATTTAACGTGGACAATCTCACATACAGAATTGGTCTCTGCATCTAAAGCAAAAGCAAACAGCACTTCATAAAACAGGCTCTCATGCTTAACTTCAGTTAGAATATTTATTCTATCACCCTGAAAAATTGTTAAAGGTTGCGTGGGACAACACATCATGTGTTGAAAATAATATTAATTCATGGATGAAAAGCAGTAGTGGACAAGTGGCTAATGAAACAACACATAAATTGGCCAAAATCTAGTAAAGCTTCATATGCACTCACTCAGTACTATAAAAGTAACAGAAAAAAATGGCTTTTCGGGTACTCCATATATTCCAGTATTGCCATATCTTAGAGGTGTAACTTCTGCAGACAATTAAGTTACATGTTCCTTCCACTTTTACTTAAGTACTGGGAGAATATATTAAAAAAATCTCAAAGTCTTAAATAATGACCTTTACTGCCATTTGTCATCTGCTACAACAAAAAGAATTCACTAGCTCTGTTGTTTCGTAGCTGCAAGATTTCCTTCAAGTCTCTAAAAGAGGAACAAAATGAACCAGAGCCAAGAGCAACTTTGTTCAGGTTTTCTAAAACCTTGACTGCCTTCAGAAAAAAAACCTGACAAGGTGAAAATACAGAATTGGAGCTTTTGCTGCTTTGTTTCTCTCCAGGGTTGTTACTGATGTTGTGATTGTGGATTCCATTCTCAGGTCCCCAGAACTGCACACACATGTACTAAGGACAAACAGTGGTTAGTCAATGAACGTCCCCAAAACAAAGATTAAAAGGATTACCAAATTTTTGCTGGAACATTACCTGCACTTGCCAATGCTCGAACCTGCAGTGCTTCCAAAGGTATCATGTGACGAAAGCGGAATGGATCCCAGTCTTCATAAATTGAAGCTCTATGTGATCCTCCCTGGGAGAATTTCAAAACAACATTAAGAAATTGGGATATTCAGATATCACAGTTGTCAATGCTATGCACTGAAAATGTCCAGCTAAAGACTTGCTGCAGTTTTTTCTCTACATCATCTCAGTAACTAGCAACGTTGAAGTGCCTATCTATGAAAGTCTTGTTAACTTCTGGACCAAAGCAACCATTAGACCAATGAACTCTTGTCAATGCCTTCAAAAATCATTTAAGACTAATCCTACACTCACACTTTCCATTGCACATACACTCATGAACGTGCACTGATCTTGCTTTAGTCACTCCAAAGTCATTCTGTTTCCAGTCAACTTAGAAGACAAGAATTTCAGATCACACTTTTGGTTTGTGCTGTATATGGGAATCAAAGTGTTTCCTATAATATTATAAAATATATTCCCTGTTGCATTAAGTCACGTGTTCACTGTGAAGCATAGCTTTAAATTCTAACTCTGACTCCAGAAGGATCTGCTGATACGTAGTGCTGGCACACCTTATTTGCCAAGAGCAGCTTGCACTTGCTCAGTCGCATTTAAAATGTGCAGAAACTAACAGCCAGAACTGAAGCAAAGGCATTGTGTTTCACTAATAAAGTTGACAGACAGCTCTCATATTTGATTCGTATACACGTCAGAAAATCTTTCTAACCTGCCAAACACAAGAGACACACTCAGGGTGGTACCTTGTTCCATGAAAGTCCACTCCACAGCATGGAGTGGATGTGGTAAGCGACATGAAGAGCCCAGCAGAGAGTAAAGGATAAATTAAACAAACATTTGCAAAACACTGGCTTCAGGCTGAATAGGAAGCCACTAAGAATTCCTCAAATCCTTGTCTGTATGGTGGTAAACAAAGATTACATATGCAAAAGCACACACAGGCAGCACAGCTTTATGGAAAGCAAATCTGGATTACTGAACTACTACAAATGTATGCAGGGGCACAGAAATGGTTCACACAACTTACAAGTTTCTTCTTCTGTTTGGAACCATCCTTGTACACAAGGACCACAGCAGTTTTGAACACTGGAGAAGAAAGTTAAAAAAACAAAAGCCATGTAGTAAATAAGGTTGGGAAAAGGTTTCCTATATGCCCAAGCACACAGACATTTCAGCTCTTCAGACAGCCCTTAACTGAGTCAAGGAGGCATGAGTCATCCTACCGAAAAGCCCAAGCTCAACAGCTTTTAGCACACCAACACAGATTACTACATAGACACTTAATTTTGAACATTTTATTCCATCAGTTTAAAGCTGTTGGGAGTACTTAAAGTCGCTGCACATTCCCAGCAGCTTTCATGAGGCTACTCAGCTTCAAGGTATGACCAGGTTTCCCAGCTTACAGCAATGCAGTTAATTTTTATATGCTCTTCAGAGCAAAGATGAAAGATTCTCCATTCATAAGCTGTTTGGTATAAAACAAAAATAAAATGAAAATCAATGGCTTTCTAACCTGCACAGCTTTCTGAAAACAGCAACATAAAAACTCACTGCTTATGAAGAAGTTCAGGAACAAACAAAGCCTAACAAGTAATGCTTAGCTTGACTTAACTTTGAAAGTAATAAGTAGATGATTTGCCAATATAAGCGCTCCAGTAACTTTGCAATGTATCATGCTTCAGTGCAGTGGAAAGACCTTGAAATCTATGCCAACAGCATCTTCAACTTCTCATCTGGCCACCCAAGAAACAGTACTTGGGAGAAAGACAGACTACTCTGAAGCAACTCTCTGGGAGTTCTGGCTTAGCTTTAAGTACTCTATAAAATTTAGATGCTCAAAACATTTTTGGCATGAGGCATGAAGAAAAAAGGCAAAGCCTCATCAAGCCTTAGCCCTGTCCAACAGAATGTGAAGCATTTACATAGCATATAACAGACTACCAAGATATAACTTTTCAGATGCAAATACCCTTCTGCATAGTTCTCAATATATAGCCTGGAATATGGGTTTAAAAATCTCTTGCACTATTACAACAATCGCCTCCAATTTTTTTTTACCAGATTTAGATGAACACAGAACAGAATTTGACCATTACAGCAGAGAGACAAGTACAGCTTTAAGATCCAGCCAATGTTACAGAAGACAATGATCAACAACCTTCAACAAATATCTGGTAAGGAACATGATACAGTTTCTCACACATCTGGAATAAAATTACTAGGATACAAACCAAATGCTGCCAACTCAGGTTCCTTCTTCCATTTCCCTAGTGAAGCAGGAGGATTAAGCCATATCACTGTGTTATGCAAGAGCAAATCCCCCATTGAAAGGTCTGCAACCTGCCAATCACAAACACATGCACAAAGAAACATGTATTTCAGTCCAAGGTTTTCTTTCTTGAACTTCAGTTCAAGAAAACTTTCCTGGACATAATTCTAAAACAAACAAACAAAACACAAGTACATTTTTGGAAAAGTTATTTAACCAGATGACTGCAAGTGTGTGCAAACAGACTGACAGATGGCAGTAGATGTGTGTAAATCTTTAACTGGAGGGCATAAATAAGAAATCAGACTCAGACTGGCTCTCAAAATTTTATAGGCGGCCAGGGCTGACAAAATGAGAAAAACAAACACTGTCCTTTGTGTTTTTGTCTGCTCCTTTGCCATCCTTCCTCTTACCAGCTTTGTGACATTTTGTTTGAACATCTAGGCACACTTCCTCACACACCCACACACATGCAGTTTGGGATAAAGTTCAAAGATAGCACTAGATGAAGTAATTGCAGCAACTTCCTCCCCAAATTTGCCATGGTTTGTGATTTCCCCCAAAGGTTTACTTTGAAAATCATATTGATGGAAATGGACTAATAATGGAGTTCTTAACGACTGCTGGGATATGCATACTAATGCCACTGCAGCAACCAGATCTTTTTCTTTGACTTCTCCCAAAGTGATAATTCAAGGGCGACCTCCAGTCTAGGGGCCATCTTATACCATTCCTCCGCCCTTCTCTCAGTGAAATTTGGCTTTTGCAAAAGGGTATCACAGATAACATGAGCAAAACAACCTGAGCTCTCCCTGATAACAAGAGCAACGCTAAGGTATGTTCATTGTCTCCTCTCCCGCATTAACACCAAGCCACAGCTGTTCTGTCAACAGAAATCCTAACCCATTCTCCCAAGCTTGATCTACATCCCAGTGGTTGGCAAAACCCTACTACCATTACTTTGTAGGGTCATGTCTCTCTTGCATTCACCCATACCACAGCTCACACTAGCTCTTTAGCACTCAGCTTCAGCACGTCTCCACCTCTTCCTCAAGTCTCTCCTGACTTTGCCCATTACTCCACACTACTCTCCTTCATGGCACTGTTGGACTGCAGGCCTACATTCTACTCAGTAAATGAGTGATCCAGGTCTCAGTTTGAAACTTCAACACATCTTCCACAGCTTTCTGCACCCAAGACTGAGCACATTCAACCTTCAGGTTTCAGTAAGCATTCTGCAAGATCTGGACTGAAGTCCAGGATTCTCATGTATCAAGCCCACTAACACACTTTCTGAATCAGAAATAGTAGTTTCTCGCATACTGGAACTCATTTTGATCTCTTTGAAGTGATTTAAGAGATAAATATAAACTTGTCTCAGTACATCCATCTACTCAGACTGGTGGGATGACATTGTGTAGAGAGAGAGAAGAGCCAAGATATGGACATTAAAAAGTTGAACAGCGATTTTGAACCAAACACAACCTTCAAAGTGAATTAATGCACTTCTTTACGTTGGCTCTACTCAGTGAACTGTATACAGAGAAACAGTTTTTTAATTGGATTGGGATTTACCTCTTGCACAGGAACTACTTCAATGACACAGAAGGAAAGATAACTATTTGGTAGAATTTAACATTCACACTACAGGCACCAAAAGAACAGCCTATTTATTTTCTTTAAATATTGTTTGTTACCTCTTTTTTCTCTCCTGTTTGTTCTGCTATGAGTTGGTCAAACACTGCCCCGTATTCTTCGTGGATTTTTTGCATTTCATTAATATGGCTGGCAACTTTGTTCATTGTTTTTATGGCCACTACAGAAGAGAGAGAAAATGGGAAAGAGATGAAAAATATTTTTAAACCTTTGAAAGGAAAGGCAGAAGAAGGGCTTCAGACCAGAAGTTAGAGAAGAGGAATGTAGGTTAGCTCCGTACCATCGAGGTGATAATGTTCTTCACTGTCCACATCAGTCAGAGCAAAGAGCTCCTTCAGCAAGAGAGGGTATTTCAGTATCCTCTGGATGGGTTTGATGAGGTAAGACTCCAGCGTGGAAGAGTGCTGCCGTCTGGGATTCTGAGCATCCAGAAATGCCTTGAAAGCAGTGTCTGTCTTGGCTAAAAGATAAATATGAAGCAATTGGATAAATCAAAAATCAAAACAGCTGTCCCAAGAAAGTGACTTTTTGAGCACTGAATTCATTTACCTGTAGACATTTTGCAAAGAACTGCAGACTTATCAGATGATCAGTGTTATTGGGATTATGAATTTCAGGTTTTGTGCTATTGTCACCTTGCCACAGGTAAGTTATTTATGAGTTAATATCAAGTAACACCCACTGTACCAAGACTGGGTACACTGTACTCAGTGTGATTTCACTATACACCTCATTTCTGGCCCTGCCACTATTTGAGAGCAGCATAACCCCTTTTAATCATTTGTTTCCTTTACAAACAGGCTCAAATCAGAAATCTGTAAGAAATCACAGTAATCATCTAGTCTGACAGTCAAACCCACAATATTGGCAAGTACAGTTATTTTCTCACATCATTATACCTTAAGGTATAAAAAAACAATAAAATACAATAATAAATAAATCAAAAACTAATATGGAGGCAGGAAGCAGTAAATTTATATAGCTCATTTTGAGAGTGCTAGCAGACTGGGTAACTGATTGCTATCATCTTTTCTACCTTATTGCTACCACATGTATAGAAATACCATTTTGACTGTTCCTTCTTCTACTAGAACATAAAAACAGAGAGCAAAGCATAGATAAAGTGAAATTTTTAGACATACAAGTTATTCAATGCAGAAATAATCCCCACAAATGCTTTTATGAGAGCTGTGATTCCTGAGAGCTGAGGTTGGGTGTTTTGTTGGTTGTTGACTGTAGTTTGGTTTTATTTTTCCTTCCTCCCTCAGACAGTCATCTGATTTCAATAAACAACTTCACTTTCAAATCCAAAAGCCACCTGCACCTCAGCTGAGGACAGCACTTTACACTTGATATACACTCCTAGGTTTTCTAAGAGATTTACCTCTGGAATCAAATTTGAAGTTCTGTTTGTGTCATAATTCAAACACAACCATTTTTCATTCATAAATATAGCCAGTAATGAAAAAATGACAAAACAAAACAACCAGAACTATCTAGTCTTTGCTCTTAGCATTAAGGTCAAGCAGATTGCAAAAGAAAGCAAGGATGTGACTAGCAACAAATCATTTATTCATGCATTCCACTGAGCTGCCAACTATTCTTTGCAGCATGGCAAATGAGAATTTACAAGAAGAAATAAAAAAAAGAAACCTGCACAACAGAAACAAACCAAACAAACAGTCCACATAAGCTTTATACTGACAGACATCCAGGTGTTCTTTAAAAACAAGAGCTTTCCTTTTAATGGCATTGCTCCTACAGCTGGAGCCATCTATTTATTTAACGTCTCAGCCAGAAATTAATTGCATGAAGCACTGCTAACTCTAAGAGATTCACACTTTCATGTGACAAAAACATCCCTCCAAGTCAAGGAGGCCCATGATCACCTGGATGCCAGACCACAGTTCGTTTATCTCCACCTCAAGAAGCCAAAATCTGGTAGAAATTTATACATGGAAACCTCTCAGGCAAAATGGATCGAAAACAAGAGGAGGAAGAGAGTGTAGAGAAAGCACAGCTAAGTTAAAATATTTAGACAGCTTCCATAAAACAGTCTCACAGGCTGATCTTTTCCTAGCAGCTGGCAGCATTCAACCACATTTGCTGGAGCTTTAATGGAATTGTCATGAGCATGGATTCACTGCACACACTCCAAAAGGAACCAGAGGTCATCACCAGTTCCGGTTCCAAAGTACGCAGTGATCCATTAGTGCAAGCCACATTGCCCAGTGATGGGAGACTTTTTACTCCCTGTATGACTGAGGGGGAATTTGATGTGTTGGAGAAGTGGAGGAAAAACTGCATGTGAGGTTAACTGCCTCTTGTAATGAGCTTGGTTATGATTACATCAGTGGTGGTCCACAAACATTCACGGCACAGAGCTCTCTGTAAGCTTGTCAAGCCAGACAGGCTGACTTCCCTATCACTGTGAGAACTCACAGAGAGCAACCATACACACGTGTCCCCAACTCTCCATCACAAATCTCTGCGTGGTCTGGTGTTCAGTAGCCACATTTCATCCACCACACAGCCATCTGTGACAGCCCAGACCAGTGCATCACTGCCACATCTCTCTCTCTGGTCTGTCTGTCCAGCACACAGCTCCTACCTTTCACCAGTACTTTTGGGACTTTCGTGTGGCTGGCACAGAAGGCACTGTACAGCTTGAAACGGTCGGCGTAGTAAAGGAAGGATCCACCCAAGGAAAACAGCACTTTCTAGGATTAAAAAAGAAAAGCATGTGAAGACCAGTTAGTTATTTTCCCTCCTGGAAAGTCACCTAAAGTCAAGCTATCAAGAAGGTAGGGGGCTTTCACAGAGAATTGTGTGAAAGCACTGCTTTTCTAAACGCTGCCTTAAGTATCAATTGTGGTGCCCAACTGGGAGCCTTCATCAGCAGAGAAAGGTCAGAGCAACAATACAGAGATGTCTTGCAGGGTTGATGGGAGGAGTGAGAATGGGGTTTTCCTCCCTGACCCTACAGTGGGGTAGAAGCACAGAGGAAGAAAAGAAACACAGGAGTGGGATGGAGGGTTTTCATTTAGCTGTCAGATGACAGATGCTGCATTTTTAGAATTTTCACACCGTGTAACAGAAAATAGGACCAGCCTTGGTGCCAGAATCCAGCCTGGATACAGGCAACATGGTTAACATCATTAGCTGCATTCCCAGTCAGGCTGATCTGCAGACACCACTGACTAAAGAGGAACTAGATTCACAGCTCCAGAAATATATTTAAATGCCTGAGCTTAAAATGTTCTTGTGGCCACACACCATAGGAGGGACTGGGTATGCCCAAATTCACAATGGATCAGACACTAAGGAACTGCAAGCAGGACTAGTATCCCTCTGCACAAAAAAAAAAGCAAGGTCCCTACTCTGCTGAAAATTACTTTGTGTTATGGTCCAAATATAATACAGATGTTTACGTCACAGTCAAGCCTTTGCTCCACCACCCACCAAGGAACAACAGCATGGGGTGGAAGGAGACAAGACAACATATAGGCAGTTTGCCTACAGTCAGCAGAAGGAAGCAAACTGCAGAACTGAAACCAAGTCCAGACATTCCATTTTGCAACTGCTTTCAGACCACGCCTATAGGACAGAAGTGAAAAATAAATTTGATGCATAAATTTTATGTAGAAAGATAGAAATAATCTTACTCAGAACAGAATTCTCTCCGTGAGAAAGACTCTTCCTAATTTCTCTCCTCTAGCTAAAAAGAGTGATCAAATTTTTTTTTTTTTAGTGGGAAAGCCTGTGCATTTGCATTCTCCATTAAAGGCACATTTTCTACAAAGCAAAAGTTAGGATAGCAGCATTCATGACTGATGCTGATTTTTAATGAATACCTGACAGCAAGAAGCACAGAAACACACACAATTTTTTTTCAGCAGTTTTTCCACGTCTGTAAGTTGGTCAAAGTGCAATCCCAATGGATTTATTATTATTCATCACAGCATTCTGTCCTCTATCAAGGTGAGCTGTCTAAGCATGAAAAAGTTCCCCAAAGACAAAACTGTTTGAGCTGCTTGCCAGAAATCTAATACATCACGTACTACAGAAGACACAAAACTATTTCTGCATTTTCCTTTTTTTTTTTTTTCATTTTTTAATGAAATATATATGTCTCTAGTTTACACTTCTAACTTTCATGCACAAGTGTCGATACTTGCAAGCAGTTGCTGTATAGTTCTGCTATGCTCAAAAAGCCTAACTGCAGAACTCAATTTATATTCTGTACCATAGCCCCAGTGGGCTTCTGAACTGCTATATTAGACTTGTCAGAACAAAGATCTTATGTAATATTCCATTTCTAGTTTTTCTTTACAGCTTGAGACAAGAAATCTGACAGAAGAACAAGAATAGTATCTCTAAACACATGGCGTTACATACTTCTAGTGCTCTGTACAGCTAAATGTAACACGAAGCAAAGTAATAGCAGGATGGTCTTTCAACAGCCTCAGTATTAGCTAGCAACCAGTCTCAAGCATAAGTAGATGCTGGTTTTCACAAAAAGAGTGACAGTAAGTAAAACAAATACAATAAAGAGTGTTAGAGGACAACTTCTAAGATACAGTTTATCATTTATTATAACATTAAATTGTGAGCCTACTCTGAATGTAGATAGAATCATAGAATCATAGAATGTCCTGGGTTGAAAAGGACCACAGTGATCACCTAGTCTCAACCCCCTGCTATGTGCAGGGTCACCAACCACCAGACCAGGCTGCACAGAGCCACATCCAGCCTGGGCTTGAATGCCTCCAGAGATGGGGCATCCACAGCCTCCTTGGGCAACCTATTCCAGTGCTTCATCACCCTTTGAGTGAAAAACTTTCTCCTAAATAATAGATAATGAGTTTACCTTAAATTGCTCAACTTTTTCAAGCTTTTCCAGGTCTGGAACCAGCCTTACTCCATCTTCAAGAGTTTTCAGGAATTCTACCTGAAATGCTACCATTTCAGTCAGATTCCCGAAGAGAACATCCAGCTAAAAAGAGGAAAAAAAGCAACATGCTGAAAATACCACTGTCAAGATCATTTCACAACTAAATCACGTCTTCTAGAACTTCAGCAATTTTCAGTCCAGTCATACAATCAGAGTGATGTCTAGGATAAAAAACACAAACTATACATTATTGTACCTTTACACTCTGCTCAATGAGCTATTTTAAAAGAAATGGAATTCAAAATTTCTATCAGAGCTCAATGAGATGAGCAAATTTAGGGGTGTGGAGGGGTGCATGTATGTAAGCTATCTAACAAAAAGATAAGCACCAGTTAACATACCTCATCTGGTGTGAGGAACGTTTCTTTTTGTAGAGGCTTCAGGTATCTCTCCATTAGACAGTTTAGGTCCTAAAAATTCAGAAAAAGATTCCCATGTTGGTTCCTTGAACTCCCTGAATATTTATTGAAGTGGCTAAGATCACAGTTTTCCCCGTGTATGGATTTTTCCTTGCCATACATAAGACGAGTCAGATTTCACTGGATCTATGACTGTGTAAGAGGAGACACTTACACAGGTTTACTAAGAAAATCAATACAAGATTTCACAGACCACCGTTCCTCTGCATTTCTGTCAAGTAAAGAAATTTCAAAATTACCGAATATCAATTTTGAATGTCTACTTACTTCAGAAGGTTGTTTAAATTACTATTCTAGTGACAGGTTGTACAATCCAATAAGAGATACATGCACAAAATAGGACTTGAAGTAGAGAAGTGGCTAACAAGGCTATCCAGAAGGAGAAACATTAGCGGACTGAAACAACATATCAAAATTCCCTACTTTGACGTAGGTGCGCTCTGTTTCGAGAAGTTCGCAGATGACCTTTCGCAGTTTATCTGCATCTGTGAGTTGCCTCATGGTGGCCAGTTGGGGTCCTGTGAATTCCTGAGGATGAGCACTTGAGTCAGAAGGGTTCATTTCATGAAGACTGCGACAGAAAGCAGCGACCTGCTCTGTACTCTTTAAAAACAAGAAAGAGGAAAGGCCAGTGGTAATAACTGAGGCAGGAGTTACAGGAACAAAGGAGTTGAAAAGCCTTTGCTGTTATGAAGTTGCAGTCACCAAAGCCCAGAAGTACACACATTATTTCATATATATATCTACCCACTCTTTCAGTGTCTAAGGGTAAGTGAAAAAAAATTGCACAATTCAAGTTAGCTAAAGTGTTGTCTGGTAACCTTCCCGGTTTCAAATAAACATGAAATTTAACAGGCTTGTCTAGCATTTAGGACTGAAACAAACAAACAAACGGGCCTGAGAAGTGAGAACTAAAAATGATAGTGCCATCAAAACACTCTAAGCCCTTTGCAAGTTCCCTAATCTAGTTTGCAATAGTCCTGTAAATGGCTGTGTCAATACAGCCGAAGACACAACATGGCGATAGAAACCTTCTGAGTTGGTTTACAAGGGAGGAGAGCCATCTGGGTAATCAAAGCCTCGGGCTTCAAAGCTTTCTGGAAAGTGAGTGAGTTTTTGTTCTGGGTCTGAAAACCCAACTTGCAGGGTATATTTCTTCCTTATGCATCAGGTTTTTCAGAGCTGCTACATCTCACTGGTTTCTTTAATGTTTAATTATGTCTCTATATAAAGAGAATTATCCTCCCTTCACCTCCTCTCCTTAGATCACCTGCTTGCATCTTTCATTTCACTGTGAAGTTTGGAGCAGGTACAGTCTCCGGTGTCAATGACGACAGTCCCAGGCTTCTAGGATTGCCAGCACAGCAGCACTCCCTATCTCCTTCCATCCCCGAGACCCGGTGAGAGCTCGGGAGGGAAAGGAGCTTCTTTACTTGATCACACCTCTCTAACCTTCTGTGTTTAATCCTGCCAAATTATCTTAAACCAGATTTGGAGAGACCTCCCAGCACTACCTCTATATCCCTCCAGTTCACACTGAAACAACTTACGCCAGATTATCCTGTTCAAACAGAAAACATGCAGGGAAAGGGGAGAGAAAAAGAAAGAAAGATAAAAAGCACATCACCACCTCATAGTTTGGAGACAGAGCCCTGCACAGTGGGAGACCACTCCCGCCAGCCAGTACCAACAGCAGCATCAGGAGCCTGAGCTACCCGAACCACCCCACATCTTTGTGATGATTCAGTGCCAAAAAAATCTCTGCATTTGTTAAGCTGCATCACTTGCTCACACATTACTGTTTTCCTACCTGTTCATTTGCTAGACTAGAAGGCCATGAAGCTCAAGAGGAATGTTAACCATTTTAGTGGCAAGAAAGGGATATCCTTCCATAGAATAATAGATTAGAATCATTAAGGCTGGAAAAGACCTCTAAGATCACCCAGTCCAACCACCATCCCACCCCCACCATGCCCACTGCCCACGTCCCTCAGTGCCACATCCACACGGCTCCTGAACACCTCCAGGGACGGTGACTGCACCACCTCCCTGGGCAGCCTGTGCCACTGCATCACTGCTCTTGCTGAAAAGAAATTGTTCGTAATATCCAATCATCAAACGTTTGCTTTCTCTGAAAGTGTCTTATGGCTGTAAATGCTCACCTATATGTCCCACTGCAAGGCATTTCAGTAAAGATGTTTGCTATGCAAAGGATAATTTTTGTCAGGAGAAAACTGTAAGCAATTAACTAATGGTAGCTGACCATCTATACAAAAATGCCTCTTGGACATGGGTACTTACAGGGAAAATATTCATCTTTAGTATGAGATTTAAGCTCAGATCAGGCAGAAAGGAAAAGCATGGTTAGAAAAAGAAGTAGTAGTGAGTCAAGTCAGTTCATTTCTAACTAATTTAGCTTCTAGTAACAGAACATATCAGTGAGTGTCAGACTTATTCATCAATGTAATTCCATATATTTCTCTCTATGCTTGCCATCCCATAAGTGCAAAGCAAACCCAAACCTTTATGTTAAGTTTGTAATACGTTTCAATACACATGATCTTGATCTCAACAGCTTCAAATCTAAAAAGTGCAGTAGATTAAAGCCTGGCTTCAGTGGCAGTGCGAAAAAACAACTGCCCAGTTACCTGCTCTGCTGGAAAGGGACAAAGGGCTGTCAGTTAACAGTGGTGAATGAAAGCCTGCAGAGACCCAAAATAGGCTGGGTTTTCCTCAGAAATTCTTGAAAAAATAATTTGAGGAAGTCACATCCATTTGGCATTTTATTTTAAGAGTCAAGTGTGCAACTAAAAATAGTCACAGTATATAGAATATGGTATAAATTCAAACTCCACAAAACCCCAAGTGTTTTCAGCAGTCTGTGTGTGACAGCCTGCAGACAGCTCACTGTGCTGTGCATTCACTTGCATTAAGCTGCACGGAAAGATGGGTCACCCAGAAAAAGAGAGTGCAAATCCACTTAAGGCTATGAAACACCAGCAGAACACTAACAAGCAGCTGACAACTGGATAACTGTCATACAGGCACAGGTTCTGACCTGGAGGGAGCACTTACACCTATGGGCTAAAAATGAAGTCCAGAGACTTGCAGAAGCCTTGTCTCCACGTGTGCATGCTCTGTACAATGCTCGCTGACTTCACCCAGAGCCTGCTACAGCCAGCAGAAGTAGCTTGCCACTTCTGCCTTGCCACGTTCATGCCTTGCATCTTTTGCTCATTTCCCCATAAGTATCATTCATCTTGTACTCTCCAGGCAGACAGAAAGTCTCAAGCATGTTTTATCTTCAGAAACTTGCTCCCTTGCTTGTTCACTGAACAAACTGTTCTGTTCCAGAACACAATCATTTCTACCTCATGCTTAAAAAATCAACTGCTAGACAGAAAGCAGGTGCATGTTGGACCTAGAGATGTTCAGAACACAGCTGTCTGCATATAACTCTCAACTACTACAAACAAAAGCACCTCTGTCCCCATTTTCCTAGAGAAAATTGAAAGAACAGAGAAGGCCTGTAACAGAAACAGATCCCTTTGTCTACCTACACCAGCTCTGTTTGCCAGCTGCTACTGCACAGTGATTTCTCCAGAATTAGTGCAATTACTTTAGGCACTGTCCTGCCCACAGTCCCATCCAGCAACCTTGTCATGAGCTGGACTTCTTGCACAACAGGGCTGCAAGGCGAGGTTTGTTTTGCCAGTGCATTAACCCCTCCTCTGCAGGGGACTCAGCAGAGGAACTAAGCTCACATCCTTCTGATGCAGGAGAGGCAAGTCCTTAACTCACTGAGCTTGTTAACAGTGCCCACAGATAGGAGGTTTGGCTGCCTGCCCTACAGTTGTGGAAGTGGACTGCGACCTCCTCTTGTGCTCACCTTACAGAAAGACACGGGTGCAGAGGCATCAAACAGAATGCCCTGTCAAACTGCATGCAACACCTCCGCTCTGCACCACACAGCAAACTCGAAGCAATACTGATCTCCCAAACAAAACTCAGGCAGACTGCACTCTCTCATGCACTGGCAGAACCGTTAATGACACTGCACAATAACAAAACACTTCTGCCGGGTATATGCATAACAGCTCAGCCTCAAATCTATAACCTTATAATTAAAACAGCACGAAAATTTGTTTAGCTGCTAATTCCTTAGACTAGCAGTAGATTTGCTCACCAAATACAGCATACGGTACAGAGAGTCGCCGGATCCCACAGCGCTTTCATTCTTGAGTTTACGGTTAACTCTCCGCAGAGCCGACATCGCCAGGAAGGCAGTGCTAGCAGCACTGTCACTCCGTGCTTCCAGCCTCGGCTGCGAGAAAAATCCAAGCTCTCCACATATTCAGCTGATCTGAAATGCTCTCCCACTCCAGAGAGATATCCTCACTTGAGACATGCAGAAGATGGCCACACTTTAACAAGAAGGGGCAGTGACCGTATTTATCCAGGCAGAGCCTTTCCTCATGTGTCGTTTGCCGTGGGCCTCATTCACTCACCACATCAGCTAGAATTAAGGGCTGGCCAGGAGTCGCAGCTGAAGATGTAATGCTGCTTTTCACGGAAACATGTAGAGGATAATTTCAGCAGAAAGGCTGAAATGCAGCAAAGGGGAGGTGAAGGCAGCCCTGGAATATAAATGTCTCTTGCCTGTGGCGGAGCATGAGCCAATTGGCTACGAACTGCACTGCCTAAGAATATTAAACATCTGAAGGGACAGAGGCAGAGAATTAAAGGAACTTTAAAAAGCCAGTTATGCTGCTGGCAAACCTACCCCTCAAATCCCCACTTTAATCCTTTCACATCTATTGCAGCACACTGAAGGTTTTGAGACTTAATAATTCTGGTCTTCAACAATGTTGCACAGAGATGATGACCTATTTTCTTCAAAAAAATACCTCTAAGTAGTATGAACACACACACACACACACAGACATTACAGCACACTCCCCAAAGCACAAGTGCTGCAGGGTAATTAGCTCCAGTTTCAAGAAGCAGATGCCTTAAATTACAAAGAAGGAGAAACGGATGTCCTGCAATATTATATCTGATTACCAGTTTGTTTGGTTTTGTTTTTCAAACATCCTCATCATTTTCGGAGGACTGTTACAGGAAAAAAATACACACAAAGACTCATCTTGTGATGTACCACAACACGTGTCCTAGCTTTTGGTGACCTGCAGCATTAAGTGCTTAACACATATACTCACTTTTCAGGGCATCTCCTTAAAACCTTCATTTATTCTACAAAATTTAAAAAGCCAAAGTAGGTCACCACAGAGGCAAGTAACTGCTTAAGACTTAATTACCCCGCTCTGAAAGGTTTCTGCTCTGAAAGTATTCTGCTGACTGGTAGAGAAGAATCACCTAGTTTCCACATAAAGCCTGAAACTTCAGTTCACACGGTGGATGAAAACAAGTCTAAAGAGGTGGCAGAGAGTGTGCTTTCCTCTCCCTGCTACTCCTCCCCTGCTATCTCCTCCCCAGCACTGGCTCCCACACAAAAATGAGAGAGAAAGTAAGCAGCATATCCTAGGGAAGAAGCAACCAGGAGTACAAGTCAGGTCACTGTTGGCTGCATCCCTTAAAGGGGATGCTCTCTGGTATTTACAAAGATTAAAACCCAGGAGGGCAGGTTGATAAAGAGAAGGCATTGTGAAATTGGATAGGGAGCAAGCTCAGAGAACAGTGGCTATCCCATATCACTGCACTGCCTCAAAATACTACAAACCAATTTCCAAGGTAAGTTATCAGAAACAGCTTTACAGTCGTCGGATTTTTGTTTATAATAGCTCATTTTTGAGGATAACGAAAGAAGTTCTTGGGTCTCTGTAGGATGCAGAGGAAACAAGATTTTCAGAAAAGGGAGGAATCCTTAAAGCTATGGGTACACTCTCCAAATCCACCGCCACCAACAGCTTGGAGGCTTTTGCAGATTATGAAACAAATACACCTGTACGGAGCAAACACACACCCACATGCACACATGCCAGGCTGGGGGAAGGGAAAGAGACAGCTGGAAGGGAGGAGGAGGAGGAGATGAGCCACATTCAGGTATCTCCTGTTACTCATCCATGTATCACCTACACGGCAAAGCAAACAGTAAGGCAGGAGGGACCCAAGCACAGCTTTTGGTAGGATTTCACACTGCTTACCTTCATAAAGAGCCTACCTAGTATGTGCTACAAGAACACATGAAGGACAGCAGCAGCACTGCGTTCCTCTCCTTTTCCCATGAATTATTAACTCCCATCTAGAAATGGCAAGCTGGGAAATTTCCTTCAAGGAGCCGGCAGCTCTCCTCCTCAGCAGCACTCTGCAGGCACCAGCAGACCACCGTGGAGCGCGGATGTTTGCAGGATTAAGCCTTGCCTCAGAATCGTGCTATCACAAGGCACAAAGCAACCCAAGCACTATTTTAAGATCTTCAGTTGCTAATGCTGCATCTGTGCTGAAGGATGGGGAACTTAGCATTTAGTCGGGAGGCTCCAGCGTAGCTCAACTGGATTTCCTCTAACGCCAAGGGGTGAATGGATAAGAGCGCTCCTGCCCTGCTTTTGCCAAGATGGGCAGTAAATAAAGAATCACAAAGTCTCTTTGTCACTCCACCATCTGAGGGAGCCTGGAAATTGTGGTGGCAAAGGTGATACAAGGAGCGTGCCCCTCCAGGTGGCAGGAATTCAGCGTTTCACTTCCCACATACAAAAATAACCTGCATAAAACAGCGCTGAGGACACCAGCTTAATCTTCTGCTCCGTAATCCTATGAGCATGGGAACAGTCAGCAGTGTACAGACAGGAAAACACCTTTGCTGTTACCCTCACCGTACCAGCCAGGTGCTGATTTTCCATGGAGGAAAACACACCGAAGATTCCTCACAGCCCACACAGATCAGCTTTTCCAAGCACACAGAAAGGAAAAGGGTTAGGAAAAGCCTCCCGTGGATTTAGCTTTTTTTGGTTGGGTATTAGTTTTTTATTTCCTCCCACCTACAGCACCAGAAAACATATTTCTGGTTTTTAAAAGAAAACATGCACTGAAGTTAACACTTCATTTACAGAAGTATGGATTTCCTTCTCATTGAAAGCTAAAGCTTGTTAGAGTCAGGAGTTACTCTGCCATTATATGAATATTAAGTATTAGAGCTGCTAGCACACATTTCTCAGTTTAACTAAATCTGCTGAGCCACAGAGCTAATCATGTAATCCCTACGTCTCGCTCCAGGCAATTACAGCTTTGAAGACCCAGAAAGCAAAATGGAGTCCCACAGCCTGGCCCAGCTCAGAAACAGAAAGCTATCAAAACACAAAACACAGCAAGAACACTTATTCCCTAAGTAGCTACGTGCTATGCTCCGCACTCTTCCACAGCTTCAGTGCTAAACAGAAGAGACTCTTCACAGAGCACGTGAAATTCCCACACACTTATAGTTAAAATTAGAGAAGTATCACTAAGCACTTCACTTGAGAAGAAATTCTTTGTACTTACAAGAAAAAGTTCTGCAGCGAAACCTGGAAGCAAAATGTTAAGAATAACCTCCTTCTGCAAGCTCTACATATATTTCATGCAGAGGAATGTTTTCTGTTATCTGACTTCCACTGCCTGGCTATCAAAGCCAGAACTATAGGCTGGAATGACATAAGAGACAGGAAACCAGAGGCCAGGGTCTTTTCCTTTTCCTACAGTAAGCCAGTAGCATAGAACAGGAACCAATTTAGGACTCCCTGTAATACACTGTAGCGAAAACAAGAGCTAAGAATAATCATCTGCATATAAGTACAGACTGAGCAAGATCTCATACTCATTAGATCAGGAGTTCTTTGGAAATTTAGCTATAAAACCTCACCATCACTTACTCATGAAATACCTAAAAACAATCAGTTTAAAATAATCTCACTTGTTTCTGCCTCAAAAACCACTAATCATCACAGATAATGCTGCGTGAAGCTCCCCAGCACCAGCCTAAAGCAAACTACCAACTGCTGTGAAACCCACCCCCTAATATACAGCAATTAGTAATCCATTTGCACAACCTCTTAGCTGTAATTGAAGAGTTATGCTTCAATTTAAGGTAGATTGGGCATAATTAGTTTGCATTTAAAAACTAGCACGTGCACTATGCTACTGATTTAAGGAAACATGTTTAATTTACAACCCTCCTGTGCCTTGAAATCAAGAAGGAATAAGAAATCATAATAGTCCACCTGATCTTCTGGTTCAGCTCTGGTGAAGATGATGATAAACTAGCTCTTTTAAAAGCACATGAGAATACTGTCACAAGACAGTAATGATTCACCCCCAGAAAAAGGGTACGAGTCTTGTTCAAGAGATAGTGAAGTACTATACTGAAAGCAGTTATCTGTTACATTCAGTATCATTTGGAAAGACCTTAAAAGTAAGATTAACATTTTCCCAGGAAAGGCGTTCTCATCGTGTATAGCTGCGAAGCCAGCACATCATCTGTGAGCATGCTGTGCTTTCACTCTTAGGCATGTGAAAATGAAAACTTCTCACCTTGCTCATCTTATCGGCCTCATCAGATGATTCCAAGTCTTGCACTTCTGCCTCCTCTGGTGCTGTCTCAACAGAGCTGTCCGGGTCGCCACAAAGTGAGTGCCCTAATGAAATTGAGATGTGTGTCAAAAGCCAACCATAATGTCCAAAAATTTAACAAGCTGTTTGCAACAGATACAGAGCTCCCACAGATGGCCAGGCCTCATCCTGCATGCAAGTATACGCCAACTGACATTATGCCAGAGGCACTCGCTGACCTGAAGGGACTACCTTGGTTTGCAACAGGGAGCACATTTAACAACAAGTAAAAAAACCAAACAGGTTATGGCCAGACATGCTAATTAGTTGGAAACTAAAAAGGCTGATTCAGAGATAAAGCTAAAATGCCACACTCAAACTCCTGCAATTACTATTAAGTCCTTTGCTAGTAAGCAATTGTCTGCCTTTATACCTCACTGGTTTCAAATGGAAACTGCAGTATGAGAATGGGTGGACAGTGCCAAGAAGAAGGCCTTGGTCACCCCTTCCTTGAGGAAGCCGAACCTGGTGATTTTAAGTTAAGTGCAGTAATTTAACTGCTACTGAGTTTCAACACTGATTTTGTTGGAAAGAAAGTCTGTTTTGGAAGTTGTTAGAAACCTGTTGCTTCTGAAAATTCCACTTCATTTGTGTCAGTGCTTGGAAACAACTAAGCACAGTATGCATTCACACTCCTCTGGAGACTTTCTCTGCTCTGTGATACAACTGCTTTGCAACATTTTGTAAATAAACGATGAATTACCTGCAAGTGACAAAGGAATGAGTCAAACTAATCCCAGCCAAAGCATAAAAGTCCCATTTTTTTTCAGGAATTCACTCTGTGACTTAAACAGCTGCAAGAAGCAGCTTTATTATACTATAACCAGCCTTCATGGGAAAAAAGACATCACAAATTAGAACAAGTACTGATGAAATGGTCTCTGCTAGGAAACTCCTAATGCCTCTGCTGAGCATACAGAGACTTCCCAGAAACTGAGTCCAGATGCTAATTCCTTTTAACCTTCCTTCCTCAAAGCCCATAGGGAAGAGTTTTTTCAGTGGTGCCACTCCTGGGGTTGGACTGGGAAGATTGTTTTCTGGGTACATCTCCCTGCCTGCATTCTGCCATGCAAATAAGACAGTGAACGTTCCACCAAGGATTATACTCTTTATTCCATTATGCTTATTCTTCAGATAATGCAGAAAAACCTAATCAAAATTCAATGGATGTAACAACACAGAAAATCCATTCTAAATCAAGACTAAACAGCCTACATTAGCACCTTTCTTGGGGAAAATGCTGTTGTTAGCATGTAGCATTTAAACATATAGGGGAAAAACTGACACTGTTCTATTATAGAACAGATTTTTGTGCAAGCTAGTGCTTTTTTGGTTTGCCAGCTCTATAAACACAGGCAGCCCTGAATCAACTGATCCAGCAGCCACCCTCTTTTATTCAATCCCATGTTGAAACACAGGTTTTTTACATGGATTAAAAGTAATTTAGCACATCAGATGTAGCATCATTTCTATGTTAGTCCCATGTTGACTCTCATGTTCCTTGCTATTTTCAATTAGACATTTCAATTTAGGTAAGTCACATAAATTTGTCTATAAGGAGTGTCTGGCTAGATAGCAACGCTGTAAGGAAAAAGGCCACAGTGATGATAACACATATCTGTCACACTGATATGCTGCCATTAAATATAGTGTGATTTGGCCTAAAAGGCCAAAATAGTGTGGATGGCCTTCTCATTCAGCTAACAATGCTGCTGCTGAAAATATTAAAAAAATGAAACTGATTAACCATGTCTAGTATATTTGTTTATATTTGTACTGGTCTTGCAGCACAGAAACAATATCCAAGAAACGTGTTTCCTTACTGAATAAAAAAAAAAACCTGTAGCCCTTTTGCCACAGTGGAAAAACCACTGCTCTTCTTTCACAAAGTTCTTACATTTGCACATAATGCTAGCTGAAGAATGCATCCTAGATAAGGCTCTCTGCATCTAGACTGAGATCCAGGTCTGAGTTCTTCAGTACTCAACTTTCAGCTTCTATTCTTGCAAGGTTCCAACTACCATTAAAAAAAAAAAAAAGTGCATATTTGTACAAGATTTCCACTTTAACGGGTCAGGAAATAACTTGGAAAATCTGTATATAAATTCAGAAAATATCTGTATACTGAGATGGATCTAAGTTGAACATCAACTAAAATGAAAAAAATATAAAATATTGTTCACAGCTGAGCTTTCCAAAGATATGCCTTATCTTTCAAAAAGATGTGCTTGTAGGAGATGTTTGGCAAAGTAAAATCTACCTGGGGAAGTGCTCTGTCTGTAAGAAGCTACGTTTTCTGAGACTTGCTCACAATTTCAGGAATTTAGACTATCAACCTTTTGGTGTCTCTATTAATGTGTAAAAAAATCTTAAAACCTTTACATTATCCATTAAAAAATAAGAGTAGAATGTGCTACGTGTCATAATTGGGTTTTGCATGAGATATATCCTACAGCTGTTTCTTACCCCAACACCAAGGCAAATAATGTTTGCTTGGGGGTTTAGAGTTTGGCTTTCAAGCTATCAGTTTTTCTTTTCCTGTGTATTAGAACAACACTTAATCTGTTTCCTGCAATGTAAACACTTCTACTCCGTAGAAAGCAGTCTTTCACTTATATCTTAATGAGCAGTCACACAGTGGATGTGCTTAGGATATTTCTAATGTCTTAAGCTGCCACAGCCAGTGTCAAGTTTAGTAGGAATCTGCTGGTTGTTAAACAGGGGCAATCAGTTCAATACTGCTGCAGATTCCTGGAACAGCCCTCTAATTAATACCTTCCACTTACTGTCCTAATTCTGTTAGGTTCATTACATCATTCTATTTTTGCTTTGTAAACCTTTATTTAGTTCTGCAAAGAGCTCAGAGGACAATGTGATCACTTCCTCCTGTAACACCTGAATGCTGCCCAACAACAACCGTTTGTTAGGGACAAAAACATGTGGACTTCACTTGACATTAATGAATTAGAAAGAGAAATCTAAGAAGCAGCTGGAAAAGGGGTCAAATCCATGTGCCACAAGCACAGATGGAGGTCACAAGAGCACCCGGGTTGCCTTGGCAGTGTAATATCCGTGACATTATGACTCATGCCTGTTAAATAAATCTACTTATGACTTGAATTAACAAAATAAAAGGAAGTCTTATATCACTAGAGCAGAGGTGTTGGGACTTAAATGCTTGAAGAATCACATAAGGCTTAAGTAGGACGACAGCCTATGGCTGTTGTTTCCCATTTGCGGGGCTGCTGTCATCTGAGATTTTAATGAGAATTCTTCAATATCTGTTACTGCTATTAAAACCTATTTCTTGGAGCCAGACAATTAATGATTTTTTTTAATGCAATGGAAATAAATATTCCTAGCCAAGCCTTGACAGCAGTGGTGCAAAGCTCAGAAGTGTCATCCTTCTGACTTTCTGAGTCATAGAAAGCAGCACAGAAATAAAAAAAAAAAAAAAAAAAAAAACCCTCCATGTTCATAATTTTCATATCTTGATGTTCTATTTCTGCTGGCAATACTGAATTTAGTCCTGCTGCTGCCCCTCCCCTGACACAGCTCCATGCCGTTCCCTCGGGCCCTGTCGCTGTCACACAGAGCAGAGCTCAGCGCTGCCCCTCCGCTCCCTGTGAGGAGCTGCAGCCGCCATCAGGCCTCCCCTCAGCTCCTCTGCTCTGGGCTGGAGACTCCAAAGGGCCTCAGCTGTTCCCTGCAGTGGACACAAGTGATTGCACATCCTATCCCTAAAGCACTGAAGGCAACTGGGAAACAGCAGACACTGGGTGGTCACCCAGGAAGGTAGATCTGGCTCTAGCTCAGGCCTGAACCAGGTCCCTAGTTCAGACTGCACTAAAAAGGGAACTCATTGCAGTGTTCAGGTTGGGATAAAACTGAGATGCTGGCATGCACAAAGCACGAGGTACTGCTCTGAGCAAAGGGGAACCTGGAAGTCAAAAAGGAAGTCACTTAGTGAGAAAGGGTATGGCTTCATAAGCAATTCTTCCAGCTTTGCCCTGCCGTATTTGTTCTTCCCCTCACACCCAAGTTATGCAGACACAGCTGCCAGACAATGAGATGAATGGAAATAACCAATTTTTCATTTAGGAGGGATGCTCCAAAAGTACTGCCTCCTATTCTATCATGTTGGCCCACAACATCAAAGGCGGATGATGGTGGTCATATGGCAGTAGAGGTTGAACCTTTCAGCCAAAAGCCCATTACATGTTGTTGCTGTGTGACAGATGGCAGCAGAAGGGCAGTCTGACACAATGGCGTCTGGCATGGAAGTACATATGAAGCAGAAGCGTGGAACTGAATTCCTCCATGTGGAAAAAATGGCACCCATGACACAAACAGCTCATGTTTGACTTTTGCCTTGAAAGGAATATGACTAACTTACACAGTTCAACTTCCTTAAAAAAAAACAGAGGATTCTCCAGAAGAGAATCTGTAATTACGTGGAAGAACTCTAAAACAAACTCTAAAACAAACTGTTAAGGATCTCTCCCTCAGATCTGGGTTTTAATTGAGGTAAAATGTCACTCACAGACCCACAATTCAACAGGAAAATATGGGTATTTTCTTATTTAAAATAATCATGTTTAGCTTTGAAGTACTGAAACATAAGAGAAGGAAACATTTTCTACATTGGGATGGTCTGTCCAGGGAAGTTACATAGAGTTGATAACCTCCTCAAAGATCTGTAAAACTGCATTGCAGTTATCTCAGTCATACTGACCAAAGAACTCACAGGAGCAACTAGAGAAACCTGCCTTTTCTGGAGAGCTGCAGAGCAAGCTCCACAAATCTCACTTCCCTTTGCCAGAACTCTGTTGCTTCCCATTCCATTTCAACCAGATTGCTCAAGCATCAAAAAATCTATGCTGAATGTTATTCAGTTC